GCGCTCTTACTCATCCAATAATTCATACCGATCTGCCTGCAATGATTTTTATTTTGCAAGCAGAATATAAATTGTCAAACATTTGAACGACGAATTTACCAGAAATTAAAATAAAACACAAATGCAAAACGTGAACACAGAATTCCAGCTACACGCATGTATTAATAATAATAGATAATAATCATTATTTATACACAAACAATTGACATTTACATGTTTAAAATATGCAGGACGGTTTATGTTAAATTGCAGATAACTATTAATTACGTTCATTCGCTGGACAATATAATTTAAACCGAGTGCGACTATAATTATTGCATAACGTAATCGTCATTAGAACTATAACGACACATTGCCAATAATTCAACCGTTGACACATACCGGTTAATTCTTAGGAAACTGGCCGATTTCTCAATGAGATCAACTTATAAGTTCGTGACGTATCAATATTTGGAAAATATTCGAATATCTTATTATTTCATAAGTATTAAACAAATAATCAGTTCTAATAGAGTTCAATATTTCTTTAAATGGTGTGATAGTTCGCAAAATTACAACGATAGATTTCAATAAAAACGAGATTTCTCGTTCCCGGTACGCAATGAGAATATTTTTATTAATTAGAATATAGAATTATTTTTATATTACACTCGAGAATATTTTTCTCGACAAATATTCATTGTTTCTTAATGAAATATCAATGATATTTTTTTCAACTAACATAAAGAAATATCTTGCGTAAAATAAGGGATAGAACTATTTTATTTGGATGTTCCATGTATTAATACATTATATAAAATTTAACCTAACCGAGACTTCTTTGAAAAATATATACCTTATTCTGGTATATATGCGTGTTCATATCTACAAATAATTTATCAAGAATTTTCAGAACCTCTATTGAAGAGTTCGAAACACGAAATGTACGGAAATTCCGTGTTTACCGAAGTTATCAAAAATATCGGAAACAACTGTATGTTTATCATATCTGTTAACAGAATTTGTCACATTACAATTAGTCGTGAAATTTCGTTGATAATCCTAGTACGCTCCCGCGGGGCACGTATAAAAAGAAAGTCGACCGATGGGAACGAGGCGGAAAAGCGGACGCAAACTTGGATTTACTGAAATTAACGGGAACGAAGTTACCGCGGATTGATATTGGCTGCGAAATAAAAATACGAGACTGCGCGGAATTAAAAAATAAATCACCGACGCCGACGACGCGACGCCTGGCGACCGGGGCACCTGTTGCCACGCTCGATTCCGACCGTCGCAACAGTTCCTCCATTTTTTTACGTGTTCTGCGAATTAACACGTTGAACGCCGCACGATTTCATAGAGCAAAATACACAAAATGGGAAAAATATAGTGTTAAATCATTTGGTTGAATCGCATTATTATTATTGCACGTTGAACTTGCTCGATATCGCCGCGTTCGGAAACATTGTTTATAATACAGAAATGTAATGAAATAATTGTAGTTTAATTGAAATTAGCTATAGTAATTCCTTACTATTCTTTTTATTCTGATAAGTGACTGATAGTCACATCGTGGTATGATTCGTTATAAAAACACGCGGCACAATTAGGGTGAAAGGAAACCGTATTGTTTTGTCAAAAAAGCGTCATATTATACTTCCATTAAACTTCTTTCTGTTTACGCGAAGAAACAGATGAACAAAGAGGAATAATTATAATTTGAAGGATAATTCTCTATTAACGTTTGTAATTTAGGTTATGGATCTTTCTCTGGAAAACATTCAACATAATTTAATCCTTTGCGGACGAAGATTCTTTGAAATATACGAAACTTTCAGCAGATTAAGCTAAATAATACGTCAATTGCTTAATTAACAGGAAAAAAGGAAACAACGTGCTGATCTCTTGTTGTTTGACTAATTCAATCATTTGTTCGCGACATAGTTTACCAAATACAACAAAAAGAGCAGAGTCCGCAAAGAGTTAATAAGAAAAATTGGCAAAGGAAAGTTCAGAACGTAATTCATTCGGTTTTATTATACTTTTCGCAGAAATTCGGTTGAGAACTATTCCAGATTTTTTGTAATGATTTGTATTTGTGAATGGTTTGATGGAGGAAGCTTTTAGTAGAATTTTGGGGAATAGATTATTTTGTGTTCTGCAATTGCCGAGATGGAATTAGGATTGTCGGGGTATGTTCTGAAATGTTTGGAGTTTTAGTAGCGACGATCGAAACTTCCGAAAATTAAACGGAACGAGAAGGTGCGTTTTCTGTGCTGGCCTTCTCTCCGTCGGAATTACCACTTTAAATTCAGGATGATTTAATCTGGCAGGCATCCAGCGAGAAATGAAATGTCCGGGTCAGTGTTGCCAGTGAAAATTTCACCGATTCTGTGATTGCGTCGAATATTCTTCGAAACGCGAGGAATGACATTTCGATGGAATAAATGGATAAATAGAAGTAATTGTCTACGAAATGTTCTAAACTGCTAATTATTGGTCATCTGCAACCTCGAATTGTATAAATTCTGAAATCGAAATTAAATATGAACGATTTCGATCTCGTATTTTTGAAATATGAACAGTTTTAATGAAGTCAATCGAATATCGAATATATCTTCATTTCTTAACACGTTGTTGACCGGTCACGAGTTAACCCTTAGCACTCCAAGTTGTTTTGTAATCTATCAGCAACTGGAACTAATTTTTATAGTATTCCCAGCGAGAATTAGAAATTTTATAACATTTCTTCGATCTTTTATTTTCCTTGTTAGTACAAAATTTTGATGTGCAGAAAATCGAATAATTTTAGGGTAATTTCTTTAAGATTCATTAAAATATTATAACTGGTGCAATATTGGAGCATACAGAGTTCAAAGGGTTAACTTGTGTTTGCACTTGCATTAATATTTCAATTTTTGAAACGCAGAGCAATACAGAATATTACAAAAGCAAAATATACAAAGTTATATACAAAAGGTGTCGAAAGTTTCATTTCAGTTCATTATTTATAAATAAAGTATGTTGAAGATTATTTAGATCGTTTCACTTTCATATTTAACGCTAGGTTTACTAAACGCGTCATTTACATTTTCTAATGAAATGTGAATGATATTTTTTACAAGTAGCAGAAAGAAATACCTCGCATAAATTAAGTGGCAGAACTATTTTACTTCGATGTTCCATGTGTTGATGCATTATATAAAATTTAATATTGAATTTTCAATTTTACAAGTTTCTTGGGTCAAATCAAATGGCGACTGAAAGGCGACTCTCGAGTGCAAAGGGTTAAAATATATGTTTTTCTCTGGTTATTGACACGTTGTTTAAATTTATATTAGCGTGAATACTTATGTTCAAAGTTTTCAACGAAAGAAATTAGTTCCGAAGAATCTTTCATGCGACACTTGGAATTATTAACATTCCTACTGACCCTGTTCGATTAAATGTCACTGGCTGCCATCCACGCAACGCTCGATCCACCGCTCGAATCCCAGTAAATCGATGTAACCGAACAGGACGCAAGTGGTCCGTGGTTCCCATCAAATATTCAACAGGCAGCAACCGCGATTTCGATGATTCCTCGACAGATCAGCGTTTAATCACGCGCCTATGTACTCCTCTTTCTGAAACCGATCCTGAATCTCTAATATTCAACGACAGTTCCGAGTGTTCGTGCTCGATTTAATAATACGTATCTTCTAATTACTGGTTTTACCGGACGTCATTAATATTTCAATCATTAAGGATTAAATATATTCGATATTGATCAGTTTAAAACACTGCATCGGGCTCGCAGAAATTTTGTATTACATTTAATAAATACGGAAGTCATAAGAGATGATATAAACTCTAATGATCAGCTTTATCAATATTTAATTTTACAGTAAATTATTAATTAACCCTTTGAACTCTGTAGGTTCCGATATTGCACCAGTTATAATATTAAATATTTGAATGAATCTTAAAGAAACTACCCTAAAATTATTCGATTTTCCATACATCCAAATTTTGTACTGAGAAGGAAAATAAAAGGAAGGAATGTTATTGCATTTTTCATTTTCACTGGAGATACTATAAAAATTGGTTGCAGTTGCTGATAGATTACAAAACCATCTCGAGTGGTAAGGGTTAACAATGTTAAGATCTTCGTGTGTCGCGATTAAAAGTGAACGAAAAATAGGATGAATGTTAAATGAGAGGAAAGTCTGAAGTCAGTCTCAATGGACAAAGTTTCTTAATAAATCATTGTAAAAATCCGATAAGCTCAATGCCAGTAAATCGAACATCCAGCGAGACTTTAAGAAGACACAAGATCGTCCGGAGTTTGAAATTCCCGTGAGCAGAAACTTTTACATTAAATTCCTGGGCGTCGATCGGTCCGCGATACACAATTTTTGCCGTTTAATTTCTCGTGACTTTGACGATTCGCGAACTCTATGGGAACTGGCAGCGAAGCAAGACAAACTTCCGTCACTTTAGATAGGAGGGAAAGCAATTTTCCAGCGAGCGTCGGTGTCTGTTCATTATTTCATCGCGAACTTCGGAACTCCATTCGAAGCGCGGAAAGAGATCGTCGCCATTTTGATAACGTTTGCCGGGAGTTTCTAACGCTGCAGCTGTCGTACTGAATATTGTAATTATAATAATCGCGATATCGAACGCAACAATGCAGAACAATTGAAACAAAACAAAGATACAAAGATACAATCGATACGATCGGATCAGAAATTGAGGTTAGGAAACGGAGACAAGAATGACTGTGAGATAAAAAGTATAATGATTAGGTAAATTAATATTAATACCATTTGCTTTGATAACAATCTTTGTAATTACATGTTAAATATAGGAAATCTTTTATATGAAATATATAAATTTTAAATTAAAAATTCATGTATTTGAAGTTTAAAGAATTTAAGGGAAGACTTTCAATTATTTTTTGGAGCTTCTATCAAGCTTTAGGATGTTAAATTTAAATGATGTAAATTCATTATTAAGAAAGTGATTTTTCTGTTTAGAAATAAGCAGTAATGTTCAGAATGAAGACGAGAACAGGCCTGTTAACGTCCAGCTTCGCTTTCGTCTGCGTCGTCGGCGTCGTCGGAAAACCGGCTGCGGCGATGGAAGAGACGCCGTCGTCTTCTTTGAATTTGCAACACTACAATTCGCTAGACTCCATGGGCTTCGACGATCCTTTGCCGGCGAAGAGAGCGTACACTTATGTCTCCGAATACAAAAGGCTACCCGTTTACAACTTCGGAATTGGGAAACGCTGGATTGATAACAGCGACGATAAGGTGGGTTCCAGACATTGGAAATCGATTTTTCACGTTGCATCTAGAATGCCGATTCTATTCTTACCTATTCTTACCTCGTGAATATTGTTTACAAATTATTAAACACTTCAGATCACGGAAGGTACTTTATAAAAATTCAATAACAATGATCACAATTCATCTGCAAACAGACAATCATCGATGAAATTTGAACGCCCATTAATTATTAGAAACTAGCAGAAATAACCATTAGACGCTAAAATCTATTGACTAATTTATAATCTATGCAACGAGTCAAATAAGTGCAAACTATAACAAACAAACAAACAAAACCAACACGACTGCAACGTTAATAATTTAGTAGATAAACAGAGGAATTCTAGGCATACTCTATGTCTATATTTCCTGTCAACTATAACAATTGATTAAGAATAACCTTCACTTCGAATTCGACTATAATTTATCGGGACTTTAATCTACAATTGATCAATTTACAATTAAAACGAAATTTTTCAAACCAATTCTGACACGTGCGTTCTATTCAACAAACACCGTAAACATATTTCTTTATGAGCCTTAGCTTTCTTGTCTTTCCCTCGACCGTTTCACCTGTCCTTCACTCACACTCATTCTTACATTCACTCTTCTTAACCCTTTGCACTCGAAAGTTTCTCACTGGAAATATTTAACATTTTTCGTCGAGATACAGACGACACTGTTTGAAACTAATTTAACGGTAATTCACAGATAAATTAAGCGACAAAGTAATTTTATTTCAATATTCCCTATAGCAATACAAAGTTTCATTTAAAATACTAAATATTCAATTTTATAGTTTCGCTGTATCAAATCAAGCGGTGACAGAGAGTCACCTCTCGAGTGGAAAGGGTTAAAAATACCTTAACCTACGCTAAAAATTCTAAATACTACATTATGTTTCGGTTTTCGGATATATTGGGGAAGAGAATTTTCCATTTGTCGGATTTCTTGGGAACGAGATTCGTGCGCCGCGATTTTATTTTATGCAGCGTTCTATTTGGCTTCTTGGGGATTCGATGTGGGTACAGGGATTTCTAGCGAAGCAGTTTAATAATTTAATGTATCATATGTAAGAGGGAGTTATTGATGTTATAGTCTGGTTGAATATTCATTGGAAAGTGTAAGAACTTGTCCAGTTTCCACAATCTAAATAAACGAGCATCAATTCTTTTAGGAACAATAGAATGAAGTGTACAACAAATGCCCGTAAACCTAGCGTTAAATACATACATTTATTCCTAATTCTCGATTACTGATCCACCTTTTCACTATCTATAATAATAGTAACCACTGTAAAACTGTCTTCCAGAGAGGACGCCAATACTCGTTCGGGCTGGGAAAGCGCACGAGGCAATACAGCTTCGGCCTGGGCAAGCGTAACGACAACGCGGACTATCCGATGAGGATGAACCTGGATTACGTACCGCTGGCTTTCCACTCGCAGGAGAACGTGGACGACATGTTCGAGGACAAGCGGGCGGTTCAGCCGTACAGCTTCGGCCTGGGCAAAAGGGCAGCGCACGCGGCGTCGTCCGGCGAGCCCGTCGGCAACGGCAAACGACCCAACGACCTGTTTAGCCAGAGATACCATTTCGGGCTCGGGAAGAGGTTGTCCGACGACGACGAGGACTCGCTGGAATAGGACCTCGTCGAGCTAGCCTCGTCGGGGATGAAGCTGACCCCGCGGGCCGGCCCGGCCGCACGACGTAGCTCTACTTCGATGTCGCAGAGTTTTGTTGTCAGACGAAATATAACGATTGCGCAACAATAAAGACACGTTTTGAAGTTTGAACGCTTGATACCCCCCGACTTTCCGTTCTCTCCTCTTTCTTCGCGGCTATGAGAATTCGATTTGACCCATGGATTCGACGAAACTCGAGCGTCGCGCTGGCTGCCGCGGCGGTTGTCGGTGATCGGAGCTTCGGAATTACTTACGAACAATCCTAAGTTGTCCAAGATGCGGAAAATGTTTAGTAGATTAGTAGGTAACAGTGTGACGTAAGCATTGCGATAATTGGCGATAGGTAAATGTTTCTTTTTAGCTTTGTTGCGAGGGAGTAAGCGAAATGAAAGTTTGAAGGTTCTCGTGGCAGTCGCGTTAAGCGACTTTTCATTGATTTTTATTGTCCTGGATGTGTTTGTTCAGTTTGTAATGGTGGTTGGTGCTTGGAATTTTATGGTTTTCGAAAGATGCGTTTTGGAATGCTGAGTTTGAATGTGAGCTTCGAGGTGCTCTTTTCGTTGGTCTCTTGGGGTTGAGTTCATTGAGTTTGGAATATGTGCGTCTTATTTGTGTTGAAGTATACGCGAGCTTTTTGTGTAATGGTTTGTGCTGGACATTTGCAATATTGTATTGGATCCTTCGTTCGGAATTCCGAGGAAATTTGGGAACAGATGTTACGGAGAGATAGTAAGAATATTAAAAATGATTAGTTAGTAGATTAAACATAGTGTATTCATTAGCGAATTATGAAACGACCTTGCACGTGCGAAGTGTATCGCGTAAATCACAATTTTCAACGTGTGTCCAGTTCTACGAAAACTGTTACCTCCCGAGAACCATAAAAAAATATATATATATATATTCGTAATGTTAATGAAAATTAATATAAACGTGTCATTAATGTCAATATGCAATTGCAAAGTCATCTTACTTGATCTCCGATGAGTCGATCGAATCGTCGTTCAGTGATCCAGACAAACAAGTATTTCGTCTTCTATAAGTTAATTATTTAAGATTCATTGAGCGTTTAAGTCTAATTGTGAGCGGGAGCAGAATTTTCTCTGCCTTTCTGTCGTACAAGCCTCTTTATAGAACCATGTTGAACTTGTGTTTGACACTTTATCAAATAAATGTTCTTCAGAAAAGAAATCAATGAATTTGCGAGAGATTATTTGCACCCAAGTATTTCGATTCGATACAGTGCATCGATACGATGTTGTAAATCGGTTTCTTTCCCGTTGATGGCCTCGGTAATCGGTGAAATGGAAATGATCGCGATAAATAACATCGGTCCGTTGCAGCCCATCGTGAATCAGACACGCCCCCCTTTAGATTTCGATTACTGTTTAGTTTCCGACCGGTGGACCATCGGACTGCTCGTTTCTGTCAGTGAAAATACGTCGGAACACTTTTGCCGAACGAATTCCTCGATATCTTCGAGGATTCCACTCGGAATTAACGATTTCAGAAATCTTTAAATCGACCAAACTAAATTATACCTCTGACCAGACTAAAATTCAAACGAGTAAATAAAATTACCTGAGTGATATCAATTATTCTAAATTAGTGCCATCAGTGGTAAAAAATATGAAATTCAAGTAAAATAATTGTAACTCGAGTTGCAGAGAAATGTTTTAAGTGTCAGTTCAAAGATAACTTTCTTCAATAAAATAAGTTTCAAGGATTCGTTGAACAATTTGTGTTTATAATAAAAATTCTTATAGGAAATAAAATCATTCTACAATTCTACATAGAATATTCGAAATTCAAGTGGAAGAATTGCGAGTAGGATTCAATTTTTAAGATGGGAGAGCTGATTTCTTAATATTAATTAGGCTGCTTCAAGTTTTCATTCGAAGATGAAGGCGCAGGTTGATCGCCAAATACTGATGGTATTGGTGTGTTTGGTAAAAGCGAGCTTCGCAGTGGAGAAGTTTTGGCTACCGAACTCGGAATGGCAAACCGCGAGGAATTGGATGGACAACCGGATACCGGAAGTCGGTAGCCACGTGATTTTCCCGTTGGAAACCAGACACGCTGTCGGCATGGGGATATCGGAGAATGTTCAACTCGCTGGGATCGAATTGGGCAGATCTGGATCGTTGGTTCTGCCTAGAGACGGCACTATTCGCGTATGGATCAATTATTTAACCCCTTGCCTTACGATCGAATTTCGTGGGTGAATTTGTTAGAGCTATTTATCGTTAAACTCTTGCCGTATTGATTTATTTAATCAGTTAACTGTGGAATTTAGTTAGAAAAACCTCTGGTTCTGCGCGCAATAAAGTCGAAAAATGAAGCGTGTACTCACCAAACGCACTGCAAACATATCTATAATGTATTCTGACGTCAAACTAAAGCAGAACGTAGAAGAATTACATGTGTATCTGAAAAAATAACTAATTCATCGCTGAAAAGATTAATATCATTTCGAATTTTAACCAGTTAACTGTGGAATTGAGTTGGAAAAACCTCTGGTTCTGCGCGCAATAAAATTGAAAAATGGAGCGTGTACTCGTCGAACGCAGGACGAATGCGCGTAGAGTATATTTTAATGAAAGATCAAAGCGGAACAAAGAAGAATTACATGTTTATGTGAAAAAATAAAGAATTAGTACCATGTCAAGCTTTACGATGACGTGTATACACGTCAAACAGTTAACTGGTTAACTGTGATCGATGCAACTACATTATCATTAATCATTTATTAGGAAAGATAGAATTTTGATGCTTGTTTTATGTCTATGTTTCCTCCAAAGGTTAACGATTGATAATAGAAAAGTAATATTTAATTTATATTTGAATAAAATAAATAACACTTGGATTTTTCAAATTCGCTTTAAAATTTCCATCACGAGTCTGACACATTGTAGGTCAAGGGGTTAATTTCTATGTCTAGATTTAGTAGAAATCATGTAAATTGGTAACAAGAACAATGTCTCATTTAAACTTAACACAACTGAATGGCGTTTATGTTTGTTAAAGCATATTAGAAATATGAAATATTTGAAATTCTTTTGAAATTCCTCTATAGCCACTTCAAGAGTGCATCTATCGAAACTTTATTTGATTTATAATTCAGTTTGGGTATTGTTGACTTCTCAGAGAAATATCTGTTACTTTTTTAATATTTACGAAAAGGAGAAAGCAGGAATGGGTTAATGTGACTCGTTTGGTAGTGTTAAAAAAATGTTAATCTCGTTTAGAAGTATACTGAAAAACTTCAACGAAATTATTGGTTCCAAGAATAATGTTAATCTCAAAGTAATGTGATATTTATTCGTACGTCATTGTTGAAAATGAATTTTAATTTTTCTTTCAAATTTTTTATAATCGGGTTGACGCTAATCTTTGTACTTAATTCTATAAAGTTATTAAGTTCAATCTAAGTTATTAAATTCGTCGTTCGATCCAGATGCAATTACTGGAAACGATGCTGCAAATGTTGTCGCAATTTGTATCTTTGTGCCTTCATTACGAATCGTCCTCGATTTGTCGCGGGGAGGATCAGTTTTTCATTTATAACACGATAAAAGGAGAAAATATCGACTTCTCTAACTCTCGACAGATCGCTGCGAAGATTGAATTAACGCTTCGGGTGCTGGATATTACTGAAATGCAATCGAAAGCGTAAATCCAGTCCTTTGTCATCGAAGAAACTTTAATTAACTTGGCAAATGGAAAATGCGACGCGGAACAAAGAACGAAATTGAACATTACCATACGAGAATCATTCTTATGCTGTCTCGATGAATTTGTTCAGACTGAAACATGCAATAAACAAATAGAAGAATTTGCATAATTGTAATCAAAATAACATAAAAAAACAATCACTTACAATGTTTTCAATTCGCAATCTCTAAAGCTGATACATATTTGTCAAAAGTATAAAAAGAATAACTTATAAAAACCATAAAATATCAAAACAATAGAAAAATAAATAATATTGTCAAAATATTTTATATTTCTGCCACAATGTGAATATAACACCCGCCGTTTTCTCTATTGAAATTTTTCTTAGGTTATGTTCGTAATAAAACTGATATAAAAGGAATATATAGTTCTGTTAAAGGTTTAATTAAAAAGAGTGGCAAAATATTGTTTTACTTACAGATCAACGATGAAGGCACCTCGTCGAAGGTCAGTCAATGGGTCAAAGAAGGCTACTTCTTTTGGGCTGACCCTCAGAACTGGAATGGCAGCTCGGAGGCAGCTCCCCATCTTGAACAAGTCCCTTGTCGACAGGACGACATTGTCTTGCCAGGCAGACGACATACGTTCAGCGTTCTTCTGCCAATGAAGAAGATCGAGGTGAAATCAATTAAAATAGCGGGTGCGAAGCACACATTGTGGATGTGGCAGTGGATGGAGCTGGAGGACAGAAGAGAGTTTGCTAAAGGAATATTCACTGTGGGGTAATTGATACTTGTGTCATTGAATGAACGAAATGTTGGCAGTACATAGTTCTAATGAGAATAAAGTAAATTAATTGTATTCTGCAAATATTCAGGTATTCTGAATACAGTTGCGACACGTGTCCGTGTCAAAACGATCCAGATGGCTACTATCTGGAGGAAATCTGCGCGATTCAGCGACCCAGATGTGGCTTCACTCAATGCGAATATCCATTGACGGCAAGTAACGCTGATGTTTTATTTAAACAATGAAGATGGAAAGACGTGCCACGTCGAGACGTTTCTATACGAAAATTCTCAATGATGTCTTTCACATATTGATAATCTGGTTGCATTACACCTATCAGATCACTTCGAAATGTATCACTCTATACAGAATGATCAACCCTTTGCGGACGAAGACTCTTTAAAGTACACAAAGCTTGCAACATTTGAAGATAAATTATACATCGAATGCTTAAACAACAGTAAAAAGGGAACTATACACTGATCACTTGCTATTCAAGTAAATTAAGTGATTCGTCAACTTAGTATTCCAAATATGAACATTTCATCTGATCGAAAAGTCGACATTCGTCCGCAAAGGGTTAACAAACGAAATTAGTGTACATATCAGTGTAAAATAGGTAAAAAAATTCATCGCAGGAGACTTTGCCAAATTCCTGAATTTATTTCCAACACAAGTGGTTGAACAATGAAGATGGAATATTTCACCTTTTCTGCAAATCGATTGCATACGAAGTGAATTGTTTTAGTTTCTTGTGATATTAGGAATAAAATTGTTTGTCGAGAATTGAATGAATAATATTCTTTTTAGACAAACGAGGAAACTGTCGCTTATTAAGCGAATGAAACTTACAGAGGAAACTAATTTGTCTCGTGAAAATTTCGATTTTGTAAGATATTCCCAGTGCAAGGACGTTAATGTAAAATTAAGTATATTAAAAGTGAAATGAATAAGGAAAATTTGCTAAAAAGATTCCTTTCCGAGAAAACGAGGAAACTTCCTAATTAAACTGACGAATATGAGGAAAATTCCTAATAAATTTTACCTCCTGGAGATTTCGATTTTCTAAAATATTTCAGATAGGATATTAATACAAGAATTCAAATAAAATATGTTACAAAGTAAATCAGTACAGAAAATCGATTGGGAAGATTCCTTTCCGAGAAAACGAGGAAACTTGCTAATTAAACGGACGAGTATAACGAGGAAAATTCCTAATAAATTTTACCTCCCGGAGATTTCGATTTTGTAAAATATTCCAGGTGGAAGGACATTGTTGCCGGTACTGCGGCGGACGTTTGTCTTTGTCGAGCAAAGCGTCTTTGTCGTTGGTTCGAGCGGCAGCCAGCGAGGCTCTTGAGGGATACGAAGAAAGGGTTGCCTGGCACGTGAGACGTAGCTGGAACGGGGCGGTCGAGGTACTGATAAAGGAAAAGGGCGATTATTTCGGAATCGATATCCTGAAAGCGGTGGAGAACATGAAGAAGACCTTGCTAAGTAAAATTTCTACGCTATAAATAAACTCTTCCGAAGCAATATCGCGAGTCCCGTGGCCTTTCTCGGCTTCCCCGCGGTTTTATTCCTCATTGGAACTGCAAACACGCGGAAAAGAATCAGAAATGTTTGTTAATACCGCAGAGAGTGAAACGACAAACGAAACGTAGGAGAATATGATGTCTGGAATTTGATCATGGAAACTGGGTAGCTGCAAGATATTTCGAATATTTCGAGAAATAATCATTCTTTTGAATATTAGATTCTTCAATGTTCATCGTATTGTTCATATAATATCCGAAAATACTTTACAAAGCTTTATTAATTTGTATTTTTCACTAAAAATTTGAAAATATCTGTGAAATTTTATATTGCCAGCATATATTGCTACATTCATTTTAAAGTTTCTTAGATTTCAGTTGAAATAAAAATTAATTTTCTGGAATTAGACAGATTTTCAAAGTAAACAATCCGATTTCAAGATAGTAATGCAATAGTTGTAAATAGTATGTATACACAAAGAACGAAGACAATATCTGCTTAAAGGGTTAATTCCTTGCAACGTCCAGTCATCCGATTTCGTCGAATCCATTCATATAATAGCTTTACATAATGCAGGGTGACTATTTCTGTAATACCTTTAAGGTGTTCGTTTATTCAGATTCGTGTTATACGAGCTTAATAGAAATTATGAAAGAATTTTTAAAGCCACGCGATTCTACGCAACAAGACGAAGCCCTGAGTCAAACCTCTGGATGCGTTTTCATGGATTCCAAGAGCTGCGTTGACGTTCTTCCGTTAAGTTTGAGTCTAATAACGGAAGTTATTGTGTTTTCCAGTAAACGAAGCACAATGGATCCCGATACAGTCGCGGAATCGATAAGAACGTTTCAGTTCCAGGAATGATACCGTTTCAATGGCCTTATTTGCGCTATTCGCTTCTACGAGTACAAAGGAATTCCAAGGAGCTTCTGTTCCATGAATTCTTAAGAATGTTTGAACAGTAATTTGTTTAAAAGTCAGATGATTTCATGAACTTACGCTTGAACAGGTATGAACATCGAGGTGATCTACACGGAAACCGCAGGCGCAGCGATGCGAGATCATCGACTGCTCGTCGCGTTTGTGCCGTTGCTGGTGACGCCATTGGTCATTCTGATGCTCCTTTTCTTTGGCTCCGTGTACGTTGGATACTCTTACAGATTGTAAGTGCTATTGTTTGAATAATAATTTGTAAAGACTCATTCAATCTTAATTCAATCGATTTATAACGAGGAATTAGAAAATTGTGAATATTTCTTTTGCGGGAGAACTAGTGGCTGAAGAAAATTAATGAATAAGGAGAGATCTAAGAATTAAAAGTTTTATAATAAATATTGAAGCATTATAAATTACTACTTCATGGAAAAATGAATATTTTAAAACTAGGATTGAAAAACAATTTTCTTATTGCATATAGTGGATCACTGGCGAAAATAAAATAAATTAACAGAGCAACCTTAAAGGTTTTATAATAAATACTGAAGCATCATGAATTACTACTTCATGAGAAAATGAATATTTCAAAACTAGGATTGAAAAATAGTTTTCTTATTGAAAATAATGGATCACCGGAGAAAATGAAAATAAATTAACAGAGCAAGTATCAGATATAGGGTTGAACGATTGATCGAGTCTGTACAATTTTTTAAACACGACTTCATGTATTTCGAGAAGATTGAAATTTGCAACATATGAATAGTGAAATTTCTACAGAATCTTCTAGTATCCCAAACAATGGGGAGATTCGTGTGTCACAGGGGTTATCCGAGAATTAAACGGTTACTAATAGACGATAAACAACCCTTATGGAAATATATTGCACAAAATCCTCGCGAGGGAAGTTAATTTCACAGACTTCCGGCCTGTTGGATATAAGGGCATCTAAACGGAGGTAGGGAGCGAAGCACGAGGACGAAACTGCTCGCAAACTGCGCCCCGTGTTTCATATTCCGTGTAATTACTTTTTTTTCCCATGCTGGCCTCATTTTCTGTCTGTATCTATTTCCGTCACCGCCAAACGTCCATCGGCGTCTACGCGCCAGTTGAACGTAACTGCCGCAACGGCTGTATTTCTGGAAAAATCGCGATTTTTCCGGGACGTTCCCTATGATATTAACTTCTGTCTTCGTCTTATTAAACGTTGCAACGCGTATCTCGTTACTTTCTATCAAAATACGTGCACGTTCGCGGGTAAACAAGGGATGTAGATTCATTTTCAACGTATTACACCGTGTTCACTATAAACAACGGCTGAAGAATATTTCTAGTTTTAACGCTAGATTTACTGACATTTACTGTACAGTTTGCTCTATTGTTCTTTGAAAAATTGTGATCCGTTCATTTAGATTTTAGAAACTAATTTCTTAACACATTGCGTACCGGTAACGAGAAATCTCGTTTTTATATAGACACTTAGCTATGCAACTTCGTTAATTACCACAGTATTGAAAAAATATAAAATTTGATTCGAGTTGATTATCTATTTAAAACATGTTACATAACAATATGATATCTGAGTTCTTTCACCTATGCAACTTCGCTAATTACCACAGCATTGAAGAAAATATAAAATTTAATTCGAATTGATTATCTATTTAAAATATATTACATAACAATATGATACCTGAGTTTCTCTATGTATAGTGATATAAGTTGACCTCAGTGAAAATTACCAGCACAATTCAGTTTTCTGAAAATTAGCCGGCACGCAATGTATTAAGAGTAGACAATTAGGATATACATTTTCATAACTACGTTAATAAAAATCGACCCGAATATTTGCCAAATAATGCTTATCAAATTCAATACGATAAATTGACTCGTTCCGTAAATCTAACGTTAACTGCAACGAAATTATTCTTTCATTTGTCACTTCGTTTGAGAATTATCCCTTTGCACTCGGAAGTATTTCGTTAGCAATAATCAACATTTTCTAACTGTACAAACACGATGGTTTTTTTTTAATGAATTCAAAGAGAAATCACAGGTAAATTGAGAAACAAAGCTTTTTTATCCCAATATTTCGCGCACCGATGCATTATACATAGAAAATTTAATATTTAATATTGAACTATTAGAATTAGAAAATTTAATATTTAATGTCGAACTATTAGAATTAGAAAATTTAATATTTAATATTGAACTATTAGAATTAGAAAATTTAATATTTAATATTGAACTATTAGAATTAGAAAATTTAATATTTAATATCGAACTATTAGAATTAGAAAATTTAGTATTTAATATTGAACTAATTTTACTGCGTCAAATCAAATGGTGACAGAGTCACCTCTCGAGTGCAAAGGGTTATAGTCTCTAATATAAGAAGAATGATTTGATTCGAGGATTCTATATTATTTATTATTGAACTCTTGTAAGGGAACTACGTTTTCAAAATATTTTCCGCGTATCCAGCTGCGCGAGACGTTAGTAACATTGTCGGACGTAATTATTAAATTTCTTCGGGCGTAAGTTCCCGTGATGTCGAATAATGGAACGACACGCGTGGCCCAGCTTTTCGCGGCCAGGGGGTTTCTCGAAATTCCGCAGGGCGAATCGGTGTTTACGCGCGGTAAACGGGATTGCAGCTGCAGCGATATTGGGCTCGGAGTGAACAGTGAAACGTTGAACTTCAGAAAGTTCCCTTTCCGGCCATTTGCCTCTGACGTAGAGTTGGAAGTGTTGGCTGCGAGGGGTTGGAAGTAGGAAGTTAAATATAAATACACGCACGATCGAGAAAATGGGGAGAGCGGAAAGGCTACGGAGAATTCAGGTCGAACATTAAATGGAAAAATTCGAAAGTAGGATTCAATTGAAGGCTGTAAACAAAGTCGTGATAAAAATCTAGATTTGAAGCATTACATTGGTGTATCAATAAAAACAAACAACTTTCTATCTCTTCAAGGTGTGGAAAAAATAGCTAAATTACTTTCTGTAGACATAACTTGGAATAATTATAATTGTTTGTTAGAAATAAATGAATGAAACGAAGAAGGGTAATAAATAATGATAGTAAATCGTAATCTTTATGGTAACGAGGGTGATAAAGATATAGATTAAATCTAAGCCACCGTTAAGAAGGTTAATTGCAACTAATCTAATAAACGAGTTTGAAATAAGGCTGTTCTAATTGGATTAAAACAAGTTAACAGCTGAGCCTTCGTACAGAACAATTCGGATAATAGAAGACCTACTGTACCGTAGATTTTCATCCCCTAATACGAATCGGAGATGCCCTTTAATTATACAATCGAATAAAGAAGTTTCAAGTGGGGTTGATTTAACTGGATTGCAAGAATTCTATGGCTAAGCCTTGGATTACATCTAATATATTCAATTCTATTTTTTTTTAATTATACAGTCGAATAAATGTTATTATACAGTAACAGTAACATGGTCTAATTGGCCATCTTCGTGGACAGAAGAACGATTCAATTTGCGAAATGGTGGCAACGTCCTGGTACCCGGGAAATTCAGACCTGTTTACAATTTACCGTTTTACACGCGGCAGTTTCTAAGACGCCGCGTTACCCAATGGCCCTTTCGCTCGCAGCTCGTAGCGTTTAACTGTGTCAACCTGCCCAATCAACTCGAGCAGTTTATTATTTCGCGGCAGAGCCGACAGGAATGAAATACGCTGTACTTCTGGCGGGAAATTCGAAGAGAACGATGTATTTCGTTGGAAAATCGAGAATCATTGGATTAGGAAAAAAACTTCTATGTAAATTTCTGTGTTTAAAGTTTAATCTTCAGAATTAGAATCCATCGGGAATGTAGGTATTAAAGGTTCGATGATGCTCGAAATTAACACGTTGAAATTAACGGTTTCATAGTACAGAATACTCGAAATTGAAAAAATATAATATTGAATCATTGGATTGAATTGCATTGTTATTATTACAAGTTCATCTAGCTGAATGTCACCACAATAGCTAGCATTATTTATAATATAGAAATGTTTTCAAGTAATCATGCTTTAATTGAGTGAACTATAGTAATTCGATTTGCATTCAACGTGTTAAAGAAGTTGAAGTAAAATCTCTGTAGATTTTGTGAAACACAGGTTTATAGTTAACCATTTTTCTGACGGAAGTATGATAACGAAATATCGAACGTTAAATAATCGTAGGATGCTGGGTTTTTCGAATTTGTCAGCAATTTTGTAGAATTTTCGACTGCCGCTTGATTAAGAGGATTACGCGAAGATGATGTTAGTATCGATGTAACAAGAGTTTATGAAGTTTCACGAGAAATCCGGTATTTTCCAGCATTTTCTCGAGCTGCGGGGAAATGTTCTCGTCGATTCGCGATGGGATTCGCGCGGACAAGCCTTCCGAGGGCAGCAAACCGTTCAGCTTCGCTCGTTTCGAGAATGTACCGGAGGGCAGCGTGCAAATCGCCGATGTGGCCGATGGCGAGCAGAGAACCAGAAACGAGGCGGAGGATTCCGACGAAGCTTCCGGCGGAAGATTCGAAAATCCTTTGTACAGGTCGAAGAGGAAACGGAAAGAGGAGGGCGTGGTGTTGGACATGAACTCACCTCTCAGTATGTCCACGCTCAAGGATAAAGCGGAGGATCTCATCGAGGAAGTGAACCTGGATATCGACCAGTGATGCAGAATCATTTTGAGAATGACCTTTGCTGCAGCTGATAATATGTTAAGATTCAATATTATATATTCTGTGTGGGAAATAGAATAAATCTTCAAAGATTATTATTAAAGAATAATATTAAGTATCTTTGAGAATCATGAAATGATAAGATCGTTCGTTCATTTCTAATGTATATTAAGTTAACAATTGTTATTAACTTTTTTAGGTTTTATTTGTAATAAAGAGAGAATGATGGAAAATAGTATTGTGAAGGAAGGGTTGAAGAGTGAATGAGGTTAACCTATTAACCCTTAGCATTCCAGATGGTTTTGTAATCAGAGCACAATCGAGGAAACAATCGAGCGACAGTTGAACGTGAAATTTTCGTTGCGTACTCGACACTGTCAAAATAGACGAAACATTAACAAACGCCACGCGATTTCATGGAATAAACCATACAAAAAGAAGAAATATAATATTAATCCTTGGCACTCCAGGTTGTTTTGTAATCTATCAGCAACTGCAACTAATTTTTATAGTATCCCTAGCGAAAATTAGAAATGCTATAACATTTCTTAGATCTTTTATTTTTCTTAATGCAAAATTTAGATGTATGAAAAATCGAATAATTGTAGGGTAGTTTCTTTAAGATTCATTAAAATATCTATTATTCCTGCAATATTGGAGCCTACTGAGTTCACAGGGTTAACTCTTATCGGACGGTACCTTTGTATAAATGATTCGCACTAAATTATAGTTGTTTTAAAAAAAATGCTATAACATTTCTTAGATCTTTTATTTTCCTTAGTGCAAAATTTGGATGTATGAAAAATCTAATAATTGTAGGGTAGTTTCTTTAAGATTCATTAAAATATCTATTATTCCGGGTGCAATATTAGAGCCTACAGAGTTCAAAGGGTTGAAATACGTCAGAATTCTGATTTTGTATTATTCGATTAAAGGTATCGTCTTATAGTATTTAGTAATAATTCTTGAAATATCTCGATGGTAATAAAGGAATATAAATTTCAAAGTTTCATGGTTATAAGGTACTAATTAGAACTTTTGAATCCACGTTATTCTCGGAGTATCATGGTAAGCTCAACAGGGTGGCATTGCGCGAACTGAAATTGATAGGTCCTAAAAGTATGAAACGAGGACTGGGAAATGACAAGGAGTCGAGAGGACGTCGTTGAGCAGGCTCGCTAGCTCTTTAATAGCTTCTTCGCGTAATTAAACCATGAATCTTCTCCGACGACGTCGATTCCATCTTCAAGGGCTATCAGATCGAGAAGAGGACGGCTAGGAAATTCGATACGAACACAGATATCTTCGAGAGCCTTGGCTGGAACAACGGCTAATTTTGCTACGTTAATTCCACCTTTTGAGGAAAATCATTTCTAGCTATCTGATGGTAAAACAGTAATTATTCTTTCTTAAAAATATGCTGTTCGAGATACGTATTCTATAATATAATAAATTGAAATCGCTATACTTAATCACATTTACGGTTCCTAAATTTCTGAGCTTCGAGATTTATAAACTTTCGAATCTTAAATTTTTCAACGTCTAAATTGCCAAGTTTCCAAATGTTTGAATAGCCAAACAACTTTCGGGACTTTGAATTTTTATGTTTTCAAACTTTTAAACTCTCAAATCTTCGAATCTTCGAATTTCTTAATTTTCGAACTTTCAGATCCTCAAATCTCCGAATTTCTAAATTTTCAAACTTTCAAATCCTCAAATCTCCGAATTATTAAATTTCCAAACATTCAAATCCTCAAATCTCCGATTATTCGAACTTTCAAGCACTAAAACTTTCAAATTTTAGTTTCGAAATGACCTAACCTTCCTCACCACTCAGAATGCAAAGGATTACTACAAAAGCGTACAGGAATAGGGAAAGAACACGGTATCCGAAGCACGGAGTCTCGCCGCCTGTGAGGCATTCCAAGCTTAATCGCTAAATAAAGAGGAGAAAACGTGAGGGCGAAAAATTCAAGTCACATGTGTGTTTATTCCTCGACATTACAACGTTCGAACCCGGACCACGTGCGACGCCGTCCACGTGGCTCTTGCGGCGCGTCGGCAACGCGTAAAGACACTTACTTCGTAGAGGATAATAGGATAAACCGTCGCACAACTACAGACACGTATACTGGAATACACATATAAAGACTCTTCGCGGTTGCGGATACGAGACTCGACACAATATGCGAAACGCGTACGCGGTGAATGAGTTCCGTATGATAATTTCCTGTCTTCTCTCGCCACGTTTATTTAACACTAGATTTACGGAAACCGTCGATTCCGCTTACTGATATCGATCTCGCTAAACATTATCTAATTCAATTTCAACCAATTTGAAACAATTGAAACACATTTATCCAAGTTAAATATGCTAACTACCAATTTACTCAAATTTCTTACATCTTCCTTCATTATGAATGAACCTTTATTAATTTAAGGAACATAATCTATTACCATAATTTCCCACTGTCAACTTGGTTAAGTGTCAAATATCTTAGTAACGTTGGTGGTAAATCATTTCTCAAAAAGTGGTATCGAAAATTTGTCTCAAAAGAGTTAAGTCAGTTTTAACCCTTTGCACTCGAAAGGTGACTTTCAGTCACCACGTGATTTGATACAGCAAAATTATGAAGTTGAATATTGAGTATTTTAAATTAAAATTATATTTTGCAATGTGAAATATTTAAATAAAACAGCTTTGTTGCTTAATTTATCTGTGAATTATCGTTAAATTAGTTTCAAACAATGTCATCTATATTTCATGAGAAAATGTTTAAATATTTCCACTAAGAAACTTCCGAGTGCAAAGGGTTAATAAGTCTGTGATAGTTCTCTGTTTTTGAAGTCTATTATCTAATTTCCAAGATCTATAGAAGCGAACGTTCATTGTTCTAGATAGAATACCAGAAACACCCGTAAATCTGGTGTTAAAACGAAACTGCGTAACGACACGCGCGCTCCTTATCGTCGTGCGGAACGTGCACGTTTCTTTATTGTATACATATATTATCTGTTTTTATATAGAAACATCTTATGTATACATATATATATATAATATATATATATATTTTTATCTCTCTTTTTTTCTTTATATATATATTTATATAAAGCTTTATCAATAGAATATATTAAACTCTCGCTCACGCTTTCGTTCTCGCTTTCGTTCACACTGTTCTCGGTAAAACTGCATTAAATTGGCATTTTT